ACACACATGGACTTTCCAATTATCCAGCAATGGTACTGTTCCTTTACCCTCTCTTCGATTTTTAAGAAAGTAGTCATGTTGGGAGTCTGGCTCTCGAGATTCGGAGGACGGTGCCTCTTCGATTTTGGAGCAAGCAATCTTATTGGGAGTGTTTTCTCGAATGTGAGTAAAGGTTGGGCATGTTTGCTAGTCTACCTTGCCACGAAGCACAGAGGTTGACACACAGGGACTTTCCAATTATCCAGCAGTGGTACTGTTCCTTTACCCTTGTGGGTAATAATATGGTAGCTAGACCTTCAAAATTTATGGGTCTAAACTTTGTTAGTGCTGTTTCTTTGCTATTCTTTTACCCTTCTTGGTCAGAGCGATGTAGTGGGAGCTGCAAGCTTCACGTGCTCAACTTTGGCAGAGAACTTTGGCAAAGTTATCTGTGGTACCCATGAGCTATTGTTGCGTGTGGGAAGTGGGTGATTGAACAGTAAGATTCATGTGTTTTCTACTTCCCCAGAAGTCTTTGACAGAATGCCCATAATTTCTGCAAAACTGAGTGTGCGTGTGACAGGTGCTGACAAGGCTGGAAAAGGCTGGAAAAGTAGGTGCCTCTTCGATTTCTGAGATCGGCCCTCGTGGTCTCTGGGGAGCCCAGCTTTTGAGAAAGCGAGCGCCTCTTCGATTTTTGAGATCGGCCTTTGTGGTCTTTGAGCAGCCCAACTTTTGAGAAAGCAAACGCCTCTTCGATTTCTGAGATCAACCCTCGTGATCTCTAAGCAGCCCAGCTTTTGAGAAAGCAAACGCCTCTTCGATTTCTGAGCAGGCGCCTCTTCGATTTCTGAAGCTTCGTCGAGTGCAGATTTTTATAGGGGCTGGCATTAAGTTCCAAAGCACACTTGAATCTCCACCAGTAGAAGCTTCATTCTTGCACTTCTAAGATCTTGATTTGTCCGACCTCTTCTCTCTTCAACACCTTTGAAAATGTCTGGCCCCTCCGACCGTCGTTTTGACTTGAACCTTGTTGAAGAGGCAGCCCCGCCTTCTCCAGACAACATATGGCGCCCATCCTTCGTCTCCCCTACTGGTCCTCTTACCGTTGGGGATTCCGTGATGAAGAATGATATGACCGCTGCGGTGGTGGCCAGGAACCTTCTCACTCCCAAAGATAACAGACTATTTTCCAAACGGTCTGATGAGTTAGCTGTTAAGGATTCGCTGGCTCTCAGTGTTCAGTGTGCAGGTTCTGTGTCTAATATGGCCCAACGCCTATTTGCTCGAACCCGCCAAGTTGAATCATTGGCGGCTGAAGTGATGAGTCTCAAACAGGAGATTAGAGGGCTCAAGCATGAGAATAAACAGTTGCACCGGCTCGCACACATGACTATGCTACAAACATGAAGAGGAAGCTTGACCAAATGAAGGAAACTGATGGTCAGGTTTTACTTGATCATCATCAGAGATTTGTGGGTTTGTTCCAAAGGCATTTATTGCCTTCGTCTTCTGGGGCTGTACCGCGTAATGAAGCTCCAAATGATCAACCTCTGATGCCTCCTCCTTCTAGGGTTCTGTCCAGTACTGAGGCTCCAAATGATCCCCCTCCGGTGCCTTCTCTTTTTGGGGCTCTACCGACTGCTGAGACTTCTCCTAAGCAACCTTTGTGAAGACTCCCTCTTGTGTGCTTATTTTGACTCATGTATATGTACATATTTGTAGCTTATCGGGGATATCAATAAATAAGCTTTCCTTCATTTCAACGTATTGTGTTAAATACACCAAAGCCTTCTTCGCTACATTCTAAATTTCAAGATAAAAAAAAATTAATTGGATGTAGAAAGAATATAAATGGATTTGAATAAAATTTTCCTTAGAAGAATTAACGGTTACTTTCGACTATGGCATGCTTTTTGTGAGATTCCATTAGTTACAACTCAGCAACAAAGAAGTGAACCGTTATGTGTAAGAAAGTATCTGGTTACTACTATGTGTTTAAAATTCAAGTAAGTCGTTTTAATTTGTTTAAACAATTTAATTTTTTATTATTTGTTGTGTGTCTACATGATATCCATTTGTCATCCACCTATGCATCTACGACGCAACGCTTTGTGAAAAAATGGAAACACGAGGAAGGCTATGTTATGTGAAAAAAACCTCGGGGCAATAGAATGTGTTTCATGATTTTTTTAATTCATCGTAATAACGGTCCCTAATTTTTTTTTTTTTGAATTTCACTGTAGTCCCTAATTTTATTTCGAATTTATTGGTCCTTACACTTTCATTTTTTCCAAGTCTTTAAAATGCGACATTTACCAGGCTCTAGTTGCATGCAATTTCGTAGTTTGGCCCAGTTTTTATTCAGATTTGAAATTTACGGCTTAATTTATCTGTATTCCATAATTCTGAATAAATAGTACATACAATCCTTGTTACAAAAGGAAACAAAGTAAAGGACACAATATCCTTCCTAAAACATGACTCTAATAATTACAAGATATTTACATTCATTTTCTCCTAAATATTGACTTATTCCAATAAATTTAGTTTTTATTTTATTTCCTTTAGAAATTTCCATCGCATATTCAGATTTGAAATTTTGAAATCGAGATGTTTAGGATGTCCTAACTATATGTTTTAGACGAGCTGACGACTACAGGGGAAGCGGCTGATTGCAGTCCCTACTGGTGCAGGTCTCCCCGTTCCGTCGAACTTTAGTAATTATCATTGCTTCACATTTGAAACGCCGGTAAGAAAGAGATCAGAGGATCTTGAGTAACGTCTTTTTTTGAGCTATTTTAGGTAATGCTTTCTACCTTTTACATTTTGATTTTTCATAGACCTAAGAAGATTCAAGATTGATTTACTTCATTGTTCCCCTTGTTGTCTCGTGAATTTAGATTTTCATGATTAAAGCAAAAATCTCACAAATAAAAGTTTTGATTTTATTTTAGACATGATCAATGATAAGTGTTAGTGGTAAAATCGTTAAACAAACTTCCTTGATTTTTGTTATTATATATAATATATATATTTTGCTTCGGTCATATTATTTTTTTTTAATTTTATATTTTTAGAGGGAGGAAAATTGGTGGGGATGGAACCCACACTAGAGTGCATAACCACAAAATTTATTTTAATTTTATAATTTTTTTGAACAAATTTGATTTTATAGTTTCAGTATATATCTTAATATTTGGGGTAAATCGTCAAAATGGTCCCTAAGATTTGCATAACTCATCACTTTGGTCCCTAAGATTCCAAATCGATAAAAGTGGTCCCTGAGATTGTCCACCATCCATCGTTTTGGTCATTCCGTTAAAAACTCCGTTAAGTGTCCCGGAGCTTTTGGCTGGAAGTTTGAGTAATTTTCAAAGCTTCGTAACTCAATCGTTTCTTAACCAAATTCGACCCATAATATATCAAAATGAAGATAGGAAAGTGTAAAATAAGATTATACTTATTTCAAAGCCCAATGGTTGCCGGAGTTGTCGGAAAATAGCCTCAAGGTTGATTGGTTCGAGTGAAAACTTGAAAACTCGCCAGAAACTGAGTACACTTTAAATGTTCATAAATTTGAGGCTATTTTTCACTCGGACTAGTCAACTTTGAGGCTATTTTCCGGCGAGTTTTCAAGTTTTCACTTGAACCAGTCAACTTTAAGGCTATTTTCTGGCCATCTCCGGTAACCATTGGGCTTTGAAATAAGTATAATCTTATTTTACACTTTCCTATCTTTATTTTAATATATTATGGGTCGAATTTGGTTAAGAAACGATTGAGTTACGAAGTTTTGAAAATTGCCCAAACTTCCGGCCAAGAGCTCCGAGACACTTAACAGAGGTTTTAACGGAATGACCAAAATGATGGATGGTGGACAAACTCAGGGACCACTTTTATTGATTTGGAATCTCAGGGACCAAAGTGAGAGTTATGCAAATCTCAAGGACCATTTTGACGATTTACCGTAATATTTGTTTTCCATTTGGTCTTAAGGACTTAACAGTCGATATCAATTTTTGGGAGGGAAAAAACAGAAAATGAAATATTAGATATTTTTAGGGAGTGGTTATTGGAACTAAAGAAATGATATATACTGCACAAAAATGGTGGTTAACAGTCAAAAGTTTCTTAGTGCATAAGTGATGATTTTGCTTTCGCTATTCTCCACTGTGATGTGATTATGGATTAGATTGACCTTCATCAACATCCGAATCTGCTTAATTTTGTTTCCATACCATACTCAGGAATTGGATTTAAATTTGGCAATCTATATATCATATATGTTAAATGGTGGACAGGGGATTGGATATATTGGATAATTAAGTACTTTTGATCTGTATTTTGATTGTTAATCGATCATTTATCGGATATGGATCACACTGTCGAATTAATATACTTTTTCAGTCTAGTACGTTCCTAGTTGTGAAGCATGTACTTCTCACTCTTTAGCTAAATTTGCTCTGATCATATCTGTTTCGTTTGTAACTTGGATGGAGGTGGCGGCTCCTCCTCTACTTCAAGGCTGCTTACACTGGTGAAAATCCTTTGCCAGTTGATCATCATAAGTTTGAGTTGATAACAACAACACAGCCTTATCCCACTAAGTGGGGTTGCTTGTATGAATCCTAGAACGCCACTAAGCTCGGTTTTGCAACAAGTCGTCATCTGTTAACTCCAAATACTCCATGTCATAATACAATTAAACAGTCTTTTAATACTAGATAGAGAGGAGGGGGGGTGTTTGTAACTGTCCAGTCCTGTGTAACTTATGACAGTTACACAAACTATACCTGTTCAAAGCTAGCTGTTGAGTTTTATGCTTATTCAATTACATAAGTGTGATTTGTGGATAAAAACGGAGTCCATTAATAGGAATGGAAACAAATAAAAATCAACCTGCAGATTATATGGTTATCTATGCATATATTTCTTTCATTGTTACTTTCTTTCTTAAGCTTTTCTTTTCTTTCCTCCAGACCAAAATTACAAAGGGGGAATATTGCTGGTCTAAAACAATGGTGTACAAGCTGAGAGAGAGAAAAGAAAATTTGGTCTATCCGAGTTTCTGCAGCAGCTCAGAGTCGGAATATGAAACTGGAGCAGATATTTCTGATGACCCTGAGTACACAAGAAAGCCCTCAAGTGCTAGAAGATATCCAACCGATGTTCAACAAATGGCGGAAATGGCCAGGCTCGCTGCAAGCTCAACTGGGAATTTACAGTTGCGTAGGCTAAAACAAAGTCGCCCTCGAAAGAGTAGTATGCCTAGGACAAAAGCACGAGCTCAATCTTCAAATAGAGATCGTGCTGGATCATCAAGACACAGGAGAGATAATTTTGAGGATAAGAGAACTATTTTATCATGGTTGATTGACCTACATATGATTGCGGATAATTCACCAGTCTTCTATACGGGTCAGACAGAGTTGATTGGATTCATAACAAGGGCTGGTATTTTGTGCACTTGCTGCTACAAAATTGTTACGGTGTGGGATTTTGAGGTACATGCTAAAAGTGACTTGAGAAGGCCTTACGAACACATGCTGGTCAAGAGCAATGGAAAATCCCTCCAACAATGCTTGAAGGAGGCATGGCTAGAACACATTGAATCTGCACCACAATTTGGATTCAATCATATCAAGCACCGAACAAAAGCAGCAGACCAAAACGATGATTCATGTATGATATGCGCAGATGGAGGAGATTTGATGTGCTGTGAAAAATGTCCATCGGCGTGCCATCCCTCATGCATGAACATGGAGGTGAGAGACTTTTATTATATCTTTTCATCAATGTTTTACAACCAAGGTTCTATTTTACAATTTCCTTAACTTTTTAATTGCAGAGTGTTCCCGAAGGAGCATGGTTTTGTCCCTACTGCATCTGCGAACATTGTGAAACTGATGACGGGAAGTTCCTCATATGTTCACTGTGTGAGAAGAAATGTAAGTTTATACTTCCTGACTGTCATATAATTTGTTTCTTAGCTTTTGCATTTGTGTATCTTTCAAAATGAGAGACAATTTATAGCCATTACTTTAACAATAATTAACTTTTATGCTAGTTCATTGGAATTGCTCTTTGCCAAATGAAATAGATCTCAATCGCTCAAGTTCATCATTTTGTGGTGAGAGCTGCAGTGAGGTACGCACATTAGTATATTTTAGATACCGGAAACTTTCTCACTCGTAATTTTGTTTGAGAATTATGTTTAATCTATTAATGTCTATGAACAAGTGCAACAATTGCAAAGCAAGTGCATGCTGAGAGTTATTCTTTTATCAAATTTTGTGTGTAAATGATCATGTGTAACAGATTTTTCATAAATTGGAGTTGATAGCTGGGATCAAGAATCATTTGGACGAGGGATATTCTTGGACGCTTCTGAAGAGAGAAGATATAAGTTTGGGAGGTCCTACTGAAAGTTTGCACAAAAAATTAGAATGCAATTCCAAGATTGCAGTAGCAGGGATTCTTATGGACCAATGCTTTGAGACCATAATCGACCGCTATACTAGAACCAATGTGGTTCAGAGTGTAATATACAGTCGGGGGTAAGCACAAAAGTTCTTAATCATCTCATTCTTTTGGTTCCTTTTTTCAAGTCATTGGGTAAGAAGTATGAATATTCATTTACCATCACCTCATGACTAAATTCAAGATGTTATAGATGGTTTGCCTGTAAAATCCTTTCTTTTCTCAGGTCCAATTTGAGTCGAATAAATTTCCAAGGTTTTTATACTGCTATCCTGGAGAAGGATGATGAAATCGTCTCTGCAGCATCTATAAGGTACTATTCATGCATGTGTGACGAAGATGCATATATACACACGCATATGTATATATATTAACTCATAGTTTTACATGATTTTGAACAAGAACATCATTCTTTACTTTCACATTACATTATGTTTCTACAGAATACATGGAAAGAAGATGGCAGAGATGCCCTTTGTGGCAACCCAAACGAAGTATAGGCAACAAGGAGCGCTTCGGAAGCTTCTAGTCTGTATTGAATCTGTAAGTGGTTTCACAAGTAGATAGATATACAAGTTCCTTACATCTTGACGTTGTGATTATATGTTAGTTAACCTTCCTTTCCTTGGTGACTGTCATGGACCTAGTTTTCTGAAGCAAACCTCATACCGATTTTATTTTCAGGCCCTTTCCTCTTTAAAGGTGGAAAACCTGGTCATTCCGGCTTCTACAGAAATAGTTGATATGTGGACTAAAAAATTTAATTTTTGCCACGTAGAGAGTTCCCTGCAGAAGAAAATAGTCTCTGAGAACACATTGATGTTTCCGAAGGCTGTCAGGCTACAGAAAAGCTTGTTGGATGCTCAGGAAGCAGATACTGCAGGTCTCTCGATCTCTCATACATACACACACATCCACACAAACAGACATACAAAGTAAATTGCTGTATAAAGTAATGAAGTTCATCTTATAACCTGCTCTTGCTTTTCTTTTGCAGCCATGGAAGTTGACGTAGTTCAAAATGAGCACCATCAACATAGATATGAAAGGCCGCCTTTCATTGACTTAAATCAGGACCCTTCAGAAGAGGATATTGATGCATCATAAACCAAGCATTTAATGTAATTTAGACATGCGAACTGTATTGCATGTATATACTTTCTGTAATTTCTGTCTTATATGAAGCTTTGTCAAGCATGCAAATAAGTTTGAAATCATTTATCGTACAAGCCCAGAAAATAAATGGGGATTTAATCCCATTTAAGTACAGAATGAGTCATTAGCACAATACCTGCGTAAAATATGTTCCCTTGTGTTGGATTGACGAATTTAGTAAAGTGGGGTTACTGGTGGATTTAGCCACATTGGCCATGGTGATTGAAAGTATATGATTGCGTCTCTGATATTGAGTTGAAAATCAGAGTACAAAAAAACAAAGGAACAAACAAACTATGAAATTACAGAGAAAGTCAATGGGAGGTGTTAAGACTTTGGGCGTTAGGATTGAGTCTGGTGGGATTGGGATTCGAGAATAGGAGATGTAATTGAGTTTGGGATTTGCTGCAACCTGTGGCCTCTTTTTTTATTTTATTTTATTTTTATTTTTATTTAAGCTACTGCTTGTCTTTTTATTAATTTGTTGAAAACGTTGGCATTGTTATGAATGCCCACACACATATTGTCAATACCCTTGCAAATTGAAATAGACTTTGGAAACAAAATGATTGTTTTTCAAAACAAACGATGTAAATTTTAAACTGTAAGAACCTGTTTGTATGGAGCCGCTCTATAAATAGAGCGCTCCGACTGCAGTTAAATGAGATAGAGAGAATACTGAGAAAAAAAGGAAAGATTAATAACTTCAATATCTATTCCTCCCTCTTTTATTTGTCATCCTCTTGTGCTATAGCTTCAATGTGATATTTTACACCTGTTTCGTTCCTGTCACTAGTAAAGATTATCTCTCTAACTTTTACATATTTATAACACGTTATTAGCACGAGTCTCTAAAACCTAACCATTTTCTCATTTCTCTTCATCGAACGAAAGAAAGGAAAAAATGTTTCCTCTAAGGTTTTTACTGTTCATCTTATTCCTCTGCCTCAACTGCGCGATATACCCTTGCGACGAGCTGTTTGCTCCATGTCTGCTTCTAGTTCTCAACCTAACAGTTATCATCGCCTATCTTGGACTACAGATCTAATTTTACTGCAATTTTAGGTGGTGCAGTATAATCGCCCACCCTACCCTGCATATTTAAATTTGCCTGCTGTTTAATTTCATTGCAATTTTAGGTGGTGCGGTATAATCGCCTACCTTGCTATGCGTATTAAAATTTTTCCTGCTACTGGAGTGGTGCAGAATAATCGCCCATTCTATGTTATATTATTTCAATGAGAATGGTGCGGTACAATCGCCCTCCTCATTCATCTTGAAAATCTCGAACTTGAAGTTTCGAGTGCTTATCATTTTGGCCTGAAAATCAAAATGAAAAATTTGTAAAAACCAAAGTTCTAACACTATATTCCTCTAGGAATAATTATTATTGCAAGTTCTTTCAGAAAAGAAAATGGCGAACTTTGCGAAGCTTGATTTTGCTGCCATAGACATTACTGGGAAGAAGTACCTTACCTGGGTACTGGATACAAAGATCCATCTGGAAGCAGGGAATCTTGGAGATACCATCAGGGAAGAAAACAGCTCATCCTCTCAAGATCGGGCGAAGGCCATGATCTTTATTTGTCGCCATCTTGACGAGGGACTAAAGAGCAAGTACTTAGCGGTTGAAGATCCGTTAGCCCTCTGGAAGGCATTGAGAAACAGATACAATCACCAGACAATGATGATTCTTCCAAGGGCTCACTATGAGTGGACTCCCTAAGGATCTAGGATTTCAAGTCAGTGGCAGAGTACAATTCTGCGTTGTTCAGAATTACATATCAATTGAAGCTTTGTGGGGATACTATTACTGAGGAAGATTTGCTGGAAAAGACTTTCAGCACATTTCATGCCTCTAACGTGCTCCTGCAACAGCAGTATAGAGCACGAGGCTTCACTGAATACAACCAGCTGATATATGTGCTCTTGGTAGCTGAACAAAACAATAAGCTCTTGGTGAAAAATCATCAGTCCCGACCTACTGGATCTGCACCATTCCCAAAAGTGAATGCTGTTTCCCTCGAAGTGAACACCACATCATTTGGTGGTGATAATCGTAAACGAGGACATGGTCACAAGCAAGGTCGGTGGAATAGAAAAGGTAAGAACCATGGTGGTCAGTTTCACATCCAGGTTCCAATGCATAATTCAGGTCAGAGTTTTAAAAATGTGAATCACCACAAAGACAAAGCCACATGAACAATGCTCCCAAGAACTCTGAAGGAGCCTGCCATAGGTGTGGTGGCAATGGGCATTGGGCGCGTACTTGTCGTACCCCAAAACATCTAGTGGATCTATATCAAGCCTCCCTCAAGGAGAAGGGTGTCGAGACTAATTTTCTCGGCCAGGCTAAACCAATGGATATACCTGATCCAAAGTGTGACTTATCAGGGCAGTTGAACACAACTCACCTAGATGTTTCAGAATTCATTGTGGAAAGGGGGAATGAAATGTATCGGTCCGACTGAATCATTTATGTTTGATGTACTTTTATTATGCTAAACTTGTAGTTTAAAACTAGCATTTCAGATTCAATAAAAGTGGCATGTAAATTTCCTATTATAACTTCCTTCTAACTCTGATTCCCTTACTCAGAGAACATGGATAAAAATTATGGTCATTCTCAAAACATGAGAAATGGCGAAGATATTTGTCTTGTAGACTGCGCAACTACGCATACAATACTTCGAGATCGAAAGTATTTCTCAAGATTGATTCTTACAAAAGTAAGGGTGACAACAATATCAGGACCTTCAGATGTAATTGAAGGCTCATGGAAAGCCCAGATTATGTTACCAAATGGAACAATATTGTCTATACAGAATGCGTTTTACGCTACTTGATCTATTCGAAATTTGTTAAGTTTCAAATACATGCGTTTAAATGGATACCACATTGAAACGAAAAGTGTAGAAAATGTGAAGTATCTATGCATTACCTCCAATGATACCTAGAAGCATATATTGGAGAAGTTGCATGGTTTGTCGAGTGGATTGTATTATACATACATAAAGACAGTTGAATCACATACTGTCATGAACCAGAAGTTCATTGATTCAAAAGTTTACATGCTTTGGCATGACCGTCTGGGTCATCCAGGATCTACCATGATGCGTAGGATCATTACCAACTCTAATAGACATCCATTATTGAGCAGACACATTGCTATCTTAAATGATAACCCTTGCAAGGCTTGTTCTCGAGGGAAGTTGGTAATTAGATCATCACAACTAAAGGTTGATGCTGAATCCCCATCATTTCTACAAAGAATTAAAGGGGATATTTGTGGGCCTATTCAACCATCATGTGGACCATTTCGATATTTTATGGTTTTGGTTAATGCATCTACCCGATGGTCACATGTTTGTCTCTTGTCTACTTGAAATGTAGCTTTTGCGAGACTTCTTGCTCATATAATTAAATTACGAGCACATTTCCCATATTACCCCATTAAGTCAATCCGACTTGATAACACTTGTGAATTTACGTCTTAAACTTTTGATGATTATTGCATGACATTGTGCATGGATGTTGAACACCATGTTCCTTATGTCCATACTCAAAATGGTCTAGCAGAAGCATTGATCAAGCGACTTCAGTTAATAGCTCGCACTCTGCTTATGAAAACAAAATTGTCAATTTCTGCATAGGGACATGCCATCTTACATGCTGCATCATTGGTTCGATTGAGACCTATAGCCAACCACCAATACTCCTCAGTACAACTTGTGTTTGGGCATCAGCTAAACATTTCACATTTACGAGTTTTTTTGTGCTGCTTATGTGCCTATTGCACCCTCGCAACGCACTAAAATGGGACCTTAGCGTAGACTGGGAATTTATGTGGGTTTTGATTCACTATCTATCATTAGATATTTGGAACCCTTGACAAGTGATATGTTTACAGCTCGTTTTGCTAATTGTCACTTTGATGAGATAGTCTTCCCGTCGTTAGGGGGAGAAAAAACCGTTCCAAAGAACGGAAAGAGCTGACATGGGTTGTTCCCACCTTGTCTCATTTTGATCCACATAGCACTCAATGTGAAAATGAAGTGAAAAAGATTGTTCATCTTCAAAGCATTGCCAATCAAATGCTAGATGCATTAATGATGTTATGAAAGTGACAAAATTACATATACCAGCTGCAAATGCACTTGCAAGAATTGTTGTCCCTATTGGACAAAGTAAAGTGGCAGCAAACGATTCATCTGGTGCACGCCTGAAACGTGGTAGGCCCCCAGCGAAAGATTCAGCCCCTCGAAAGAGAAAGACAAGGCACAACTGAATCCAAATGAAATCATTCAGGAAGAGAGAATGAATGACAAATCTACAATTCATGATTCTGGACTTCCAGAAAAAGAAAATGTCCTTGATGAGACACATGTCCCTGAAGAGACAGCAGTACATGAAAACAAAGAAATCTCCATAAATTATGCATGTACTAATGAATTGTGGGATCGGAATGAAATAATCATCGACGATATGTTCGCATTCGCAGTAGTCATTGAAATCATATTAAGTGATGATATTGAGCCCCGCTCTGTTGATGAATGTAAACAAAGACAAGATTGACCTAAGTGGAAAGATGCAATCCAGGCAAAATTAAATTCCTTGGAAAGGCGAAATGTTTTTGGACCAGTAGTCCAAACCCCGCCTAGTGTAAACCCCGTGGGTTACAAATGGGTATTCACAAGGAAACGCAATGAGAAAAACGAGATTGCAAGATATAAAGCATGACTCATTGCACAAGGTTTTTCGCAAAAACCTAGAATTGATTATGAGGAGACATACTCTCCTGTAATGGACGCAATTATGTTCCGTTACTTAATAAGTTTAATGGTTTTAGAAAAACTTGACATGCGACTTATGGATGTCATCACCGCGTATCCATATGGAGAATTAGATATTGACATATATATGAAAGTCCCAGAAGGACTTAAGTCGCCTGAAACAACTAACAAATCATGAGGTATGCTCTCGATCAAACTAAGGCGATCATTGTATGGGCTGAAACAATCTCGACGAATGTGGTATAATCGTCTCAATGAGTATTTGATCAAAGAAGGGTATATCAACAATGTCATTTGCCCTTAAGAAATACAAATCTGGATTTGCTATAATGGCAGTATATGTCGATGATATGAACCTAGTTGGAACCTCTGAAAAGCTCAATAAAACTACTGAATATCTGAAAAGCGAATTTGAAATGAAGGACCTTGGAAAAACGAAATTTTGTCTCGGCCTACAGATCGAGCATTGTGCTAGTGGAATTTTGGTCCACCAATCAACTTACATTGAAAAAATCCTGAAGCAATTTGGTATGGACAAGGCTTATCCACTTAGCACGCCAATGGTCATTCATTATCTGGACATTAAGAAAGATCCATTACGTCTAAAAGAAGATGATGAACTGGCCCTTGGTCCAGAAGTACCATATCCGAGTGCAATAGGTGCTTTGTTGTATTTAGCACAATGTACTAGACCAGATATAGCTTTTTTAGTCAACTTGTTAGTAAGGAATAGCTTTGCTCCAACAATTCGTCATTGGAAGGGTGTCAAAGATGTATTGTGATACCTTCGTGGGACAACAGATATGGGTCTCTTCTACTTAGAGAAATCCACAAATGACCAGAGCCTTGTTGGATATGCATATCCTGGTTTTCTCTCTGATCCGCATAAAGCCCGCTCACAAACTAGATATGTGTTCAAGAATGGAGATACAACAATCTCATGGCGCTCCACAAAGAAAACACTAGTTGCTACATCTTCAAATAATTCAGAAATACTTGCTTTACATGAAACAAGTCGTGAATGTTCTTAGTTAAGATCAATGATCCATCATATCTGGAATTCATGTGGTCTAACTTCGAAGACAGACAATCCAACTGTTATTCATGAAGATAATGCAGCATGTGTTGCCCAAATGAAGGAAGTATTCATCAAGGGCTATAAAACTAAACACACATCTCCAAAGTTTTTCAGTGCACATGAGCTTTAGAAGGCTAAAGTTATTGAAGTCAGACAAATCCGTTCTAATGAAAATCTGGCAGATTTGTTCACCAAATCTCTACCAAAGTGCACGTTTCAGAAGTTAGTGCAAAGTATCGGATTACGTCGACTTACCAAACAACTAAATTTGGAGAATGCGGAATCAGGGGGAGATATATATCAGGGGGAGCATCCATGATACATGCTTGTTGTACTCTTTTTTCCTTCAATTAGGATTTTTCCCATTGGGTTTTTCATATCAAGGTTTTAACGAGGCAACATAAGCATATTTAACACTATATCAACAATCCAGGAAAAGTTGTACTCTTTTTCCTTCGCTATGGTTTTTTCCCACTGGGTTTTTCTAAGCAAGGTTTTAACGAGGCAACTCATGTTGATATATGGGTATCCAAGGGGGAGTGTTGAAAACATTGGCATTGTTATGAATGCCCACACACACATTGTCAATACCCTTGCAAATTGAAATAGACTTTGGAAACAAAAGGATTGTTTTTCAAAACATGCAATGTAAATTTCAAACTGTAAGAACCTGTTTGTATGGAGCCGCTCTATAAATAAAGCGCTCCGACTGCAGTTAATGAGATAGAGAGAATACTGAGAAAAAAAAGGAAAGATTAATAACTTCAGTATCTATTCCTCCCTCTTTTATTTGTCATCCTCTTGTGCTATAGCTTCAGTGTGATATTTTACACCTACTTCGTTCCTGTGTCTAATAAATGTTATCTATCTAACTTTTACATATTTATAACACAATTTTTTTTTATAAAATAACCTAACCAAAAATTACGTTGCCCCATGTAATCTTTAAAAATAATAATAATAAGAAGGACAACTCCTTGCCGGATCATTTTCCCAGGGATCCTCGCCGGATCCTTTTCCTAGGGATCCTAGGGATTTCGTGATCGTGACCATTCATCGTACATCGTACGGTCAGAAATCATTTTAAAATTAAATATAAATAGTACCTAATAAAAACTGACCGCATGATGTACGATGAACAGTTACGATCAAGGGATCTCTAGGATCCCTTTCCATTAATTAAGTACAGACAATTAGAAATTGAACATAGAAAATATATAATACACAATGCAATTCAAATTCTTATTAGTGCAATATTTTGCTTAATGTCAATTTTGCTTAAAGTCGATTTTTCATCCCACGCAAAAGGTTATTTTTGAAATAATGATATATTTTACACACTTATTCACGAGATTTGGATTTAAGATCTCTTGTGTGAAGAAGAATATCACTAGATTGTAGTCCTAAGAGACTAATTCCATTAAGGGTATATTATTTTATAAAGTTTATATGTTGCATTGACTATTTGTTGATTTGGAGTTTGTAGAAGTTGCAAACGTAACTTTTATGTTTCTTATCAAGCTTATGTACTTGTGTATATTATATTAGCCGATATTTCGACCTGTATCAATATATCTATCAGTACCTTTTTTAAGTTTGGACTACGAATATATCTATAAACCGAAACTTATATCCTTAATCATGACTCTCACCCATGTAATTTTATATGGAAATTAATAGGTAAGAAAATAATTCATTGTACCTTACCATTCCTATATAAAAACAAAAATGAAGAACTCGTTGCAAATTACCAAATGCTTTCCATTTAGGATTTAAAATAAAACGGTAAACCCATGATGCAAGAATATACGATACCTATGATTAGACTTGGCAAACGGATCGTGTCTGTCGTGTTCGTGTCATTTTTGTGTAACACATGTTATTTTAACGGGTTGTGTCATGTCACACCCATTATCTTAAAGGGTCCTAACAGGTCGGGTCACTTTACCCACCCGTTAAGAAAAAAATATTTTTTTCTTCTTAAATTTGCACATACCACACATTGCCACATAAATATTACATCAAAACACTAAAACACATTTGTCATTTAAGTACTACATCTACATTTGAAAATAAGAGCCTAATAAACAAACATCCATACACTACTAGTCTATTACAAAATATTAAATGTGCAAGGATATGCAAAATGAAAGAGTTTTTGTTTTCAAGGTTATGAAGCATTTCTCAAAAGTCTAAACCTTGCCAATGGAACTCAAACCTTGCATGTTATTCCTTTTACAAAATCCTCAATTTTCATCGATCATCATGACATAAGATTATGTGGTATCCACTAGTGTAAATATTTTAAATTGAAGATCGAATTCATTCATTGTATTCATATATGGTCAAGGAGTGTAGCTGTAAAAAATCATCAAAATCGGAGTTAAAATAACCGTTAAATCGTGATTTTTCGTTGATAACCATCGAAAAGTTTTATCCCGTTACTTGATCTCTAAATGTTTGTATTTTACGATTTTTGGCGTATGAGATCTTGAAGCATATACAAACAAGTTTGACGGTAGGATCATTGAAATTAGTTTCGTAAAATGCGTATCTCATCAAAACAATAGATTCACTAACACTTAAGAGTTTATTTATACTTTTCATTAAGTACAATATAAGATTTTGTGATATCCACTAGTGTAAATATTTTAAATTGAAGATCAAATTCATTCATTGTATTCATATAGGGTGAAGGAGTGTAGCTGTAAAAAAATCATCAAAATCGGAGTTAAAATAATCGTTAAATTGTGATTTTTGGTTGATAACCGTCGAAATTTTTTGTCCCGTTACTTGATCTCTGAATGTTTGTTTTTTGCAATTTTTGGCGTATGCGATCTCGAAGTATATACAAACATGTTTGACAATTAGATTGTTGAAGCTAGTTTCGTAGAATGCATATCCCATCAAAACAATAGATTCACTAACACTTAAGAGTTTATTCATACTTTCATTAAGTATAACATAAGCTTTTGTGGTATTCACTAGTGTAAATATTTTAACTTGAAGATTGAGTTCATTCATTGTATTCATTTAGGTCAAGGAGTGTAGCTGTAAAAAATCATCAAAATCGAAGTTAAAATAAACGTTATATCGTGATTTTTCGTTGATAACCGTCTAAACGTTTTGTCCCGTTACTTGATCTCTGAATAGTTGGTTTTTTCAATTTTTGGCGTATACGATCTCGAAGTATATACAAACTTCTTTGATTGTTGGATCGTAGTTTCATAGAATGCGTATCCCATCAAAACCATAGATTCACTAACACTTCAGAGTTTTTTCATACTTTTATTAAGTATAACATAAGATTTTGTGGTATCCACTAGTGTAAATATTTTAAATTGAAGATCGAGTTCATTTATTGTATTCATATAAGGTCAAGGAGTGTAGCTATAAAAAATCATCAAAATCAGAGTTAAAATAACAATTAAATCGTGACTTTTCGTTGATAACCGTCGAAAAGTTTTGTTCCATTATTTGATCTCTGAGTGTGTTTTTTTTTTTGCGATTTTTAGCGTATGCGATCTTGAAGCATATACAAACATATTTGACGGTTGGATGGTTGAAATTAGTTTCGTAGAATACGTATCCCATTAAGTATAACATAAGATTTTATGGTATCCACTAGTGTAAGTATTTTAAATTGAAGATCGAGTTCATTCATTATACTCGTATAGGGTCAAGGAGTGTAGCTGTAAAAAATCATCAAAATTGGAGTTAAAATGACCATTAAACAGTGATTTTTCGTTGGTAACCGTAAAAAAGTTTTGTCCCGTTACTTGAACTCTGAATGTTTATTTTTTGCTATTTTTGTTGCATGCGATCTTGAACTATATACATACAAGCTTGACAGTTGGATCATTGAAATTAGTTTCGTGGAATACGTATCTCATCAAAACGATTGATTCACTAACACTTAGGGTGCGTTTGTTGCATTGGACTATCTCGGACTGGATTAGCTTCAGGGACTAAGTTGGATTGGCTTAGACTAGACTGAGCTGGACTAACTTAGTGAAGTATTTGGTGCAGTGTCGGACTAAAAAGCAGAATAATTAATAAACTATAATATTATATTAATTAATGCATAAATAGTAATATTTTATATTATTTAATATTTATATAATAATATTTTATGTTTTTTAATGCATATTTATTCCTCTTTTACTTTACTCCAAACAGACTGCCCCTCCAGAACCATCTTCTTTTTTCTTCTACCTCTGGCTCCAGCCCCATTTCTTCTTTCCTCCATCTTTTTCCTGCAAAACGCAGGTGTAAAGTTCATCGCAAATCCTTCAAAACAAGCTCATCCTCTTCAACCTCTTACCGCTGTTAAGAATTTCCACCTTCCTTATCTTTTTTTTCCAAAAATTTTCGGATCTCTCTCCTTCCTCTGATACATGCGTTGGCTTCTTCGCCTACAAAGTCATCTCATAATTTTCTGGCAATGGGTGGATTTTGAATTTTGGGTTGGATTTTGTAGTTATTTTTTCGCGTTTTTTTTTTAATAAAATTTTTGTGGTTGGATTTTGAGGTTTGGGCAGTAGGTGGAGCTTTGTTTCAGATCTGAGCGGTGATTAAAGGGTGTTGCAGAGGAAGAGGCAGAGGCGAGGAAGAGGCAGATGAGAGGACGAGATGAAGAGGTAGATGGGAGGACGAAGCGGAAGAGGCAGATTTTGCAGGATCTGGGTTTGAAATGGGTTGTGGGACGCGAGGAAGAGACAGATGGGAGGACAAAATGAGTAGGAGTGAAGCGTAGTAGTGTGGTCTTAGCAGTCCGCCCAATTTCGAGGGGTCTCATTAAGACCCTCTAGCGAACCTGTTAGTCGGACTCAGTCGGAGCGAGTCTCATTAAACATTGTCCCGTGTGAAAAAAACACCTGATTACAGTCCAGTCTAGTCCAAGGATGTTTAGCGAAGCCAAACAAACGAGCCCTTAGAGTTTATTTATACTTTCATTAAGTATGACATAAGATTTTGTGGTATCTACTAGTGTAAATATTTTAAATTGAAGATTGAATTCATTCATTGTATTCATATAGGGTCAAGGAGTGTAGCTGTAAAAAATCATCAAATTCGGAGTTAAAATAACCATTCAATCGTGATTTTGGTTGATAACCGTCAAAATTTTTTGTCCCTTTACTTGATCTTTGAATGTTTGTTTTTTGAAATTTTTAGCGTATGTGATCTTAACGTATATACAAACATGTTTGATGGTTGGATCGTTGAAACTAGTTTGGTAGAATGTGTATCCCATCAGAAAAATAGATTAACAAACACTTAAGAGTTTATTAATACTTTTATTCAGTATAACATAAGATTTTGTGGTATCCACTACTGTAAATATTTTAAATTGAAGATCGATTTCATTCATTGTATTCATATAGGGTCAAGGAGTGTAGCTGTAAAAAAATCATAAAATTCGCAGTTAAAATAATCGTTAAATTGTGATTTTTCGTTGATAATCGTCAAAAAGTTTTGTCCAATTACTTGATCTTTGAATGTTTCTGTTTTTGTAATTTTTGGCATATGCGATCTCGAAGTATATACAAACATGTTTGACAGTTGGATCGATGAAATTAGTTTCGTAGAATACGTATCCCATCAGAACAATAGATTCACTAACACTTCAGAATTTATTCATATTTTCATTAAGTATAACGTAAGATTTTGTGGTATCCACTAGTGTAAATATCTTAAATTGAAGATTGAGTTCATTCATTGTATTCATATAGGGCCAAGAAGTGCAGCTGTAAAAAATCATCAAAATCGCAGTTAAAATAACCGTTAAATTGTGATTTTTCATTGATAACCGTCAAAACATTTGTTCCGTTACTTGATCTCTCAATGTTTGTTTTTTGAAAATTTTGGCGTATGCGATCTTGAAGTATATACAAATATGTTTGATGTGTATCCCATCAGAACAATAGATTAACTAACACTTAAGAGTTTATTAATATTTTCATTAAGTATAACATAAGATTTTGTGGTATCCACTAGTGTAAATATTTTAAATTGAAGATCGAGTTCTTTCATTGTATTCGTATAGGGTCAAGGAGTGTAGCTGTAAACAATCATCAAAATCAAAGTTAAAATAACCGTTAAATTATGATTTTTTGTTGATAACAGTTGAAAAGTTTTGTCCCGTTACTTGATCTCTGAATGTTTTTTTTTTGCGATTTTTAGCGTATGCGATCTCGAAGGATATATAAACAAGTTTGACGGTTGGATCATTAAATTAGTTTCGTAGAATGCTTATCCCATCAAAACGATAGATTTACTAATATTTAAGAGTTTATTCATACTTTCATTAAAACAAAAGATTTTGCGGTATCCACCAGTGTAAATATTTTAATTGAAGATCGAGTTCATTCATTGTATTCGTATAGGGTGAAGAAAAATCATCAAAATCGGAGTTAAATTAACCGTTAAATCGTGATTTTTTGTTGATAACCGTCGAAAAGTTTTGTTCCATTACTTGATCTCTGAATGTTTGTTTTTTGCAATTATTGGTGTATGTGATCTCGAAGTATATACAAACATATTTGATGGTTGGATCATTGAAACTAGTTTCGTAGAATGCGTATCCCATCAAAACAATAGATTCACTAACACTTAAAAGTTTATTCATACTTTCATTAAGTATAACATAAGATTTTGTGGTATCCACTTGTGTCAATATTTTAAATTGAAGATCGAGTTCATTCATTGTATTCGTATAGGGTTAAGGAGTGTAGTTGTAAAAAATCATCAAAATCGGAGTTAAAATAACCGTTAAATTGTGATTTTTCGTTGATAACTATAAAAAAGTTTTGTTTTGTTACTTGATTTTTGAATGTTTTTTTTTTTTGCGATCTTGAAGCATATAAAAACCAGTTTGACAATTGGATCCTTGAAATTAGTTTCGTAGAATGCATATCCCAACAAAACGATAGATTAACTAACACTTACGAGTTTATTTATACTTTCATGAAGTATGACATAAGATTTTGTGGTATCCACTAGTGCAAATATTGTAAATTGATGATCGAATTCATTCATTTATTCATATTGGGTCAAGGAGTGTAGCTGTAAAAAATCATCAAAATTGGAGTTAAAATGATCATTAAATCGTGATTTTTTGTTGATAATTGTCTAAAAGTTTTGTCCCGTTAGTTGATCTTTGAATGTTTTTTTTTTGTGATTTTTGGAGTATGCGATCTTGAATCATATACAAACAAGTTTGACGATTGGATCATTGAAATTAGTTTCATAGAATGCGTATCCCATCAAAACGATACATTCACTAATACTTATAGTTTATTTATACTTTCATTAAGTATAACATAAGATTTTGTGGTATCCACTAGTGTAAATTTTTTAAATTGAAGATCGAGTTCATTCATTGTATTCATATACGGTCAACGAGTGTAACTGTAAGAAATCATCAAAATCGGAGTTAAAATAACCGTTAAATAGTGATTTTTCGTTGATAGCAGTGGAAAAGTTTTGTTCCATTACTTGATCATTGAATGCTTGTTTTTTTTTCAATTTTTGGTATATGCGATATCGAAGTATATAGACACATGTTTGACGGTTGGATCGTTAAAATTAGTTTTGTAGAATGCGTATCCCATGAAAACAATAGATTCACTTATACTTAAGAGTTTATTCATACTTTCATTAAGTATGACATAAGATTTTGTGGTATCCACTAGTGTAAATATTTTAAATTGAAGATTGAGTTGATTCATTGTATTCTTATTGGGTTGAGGAGTGTAACTGTAAAAAATCATCAGAATCAGAGTTAAAATGATCGTTAAATCGTGATTTTTCGTTGATAACAGTCGAAAAGTTTTGTCCCGTTAATTGATCTCTAAATTTTTTTTTTTTTTGCGATTTTTTGCTAATGCGATCTCGAAGCATATTCAAACAAGTTTGATGGTTGGATCGTTGAAATTAGTTTTGTAGAATTCGTATCCCATCAAGTTCAATGGTATATATATATATATATATATATATATATATGAATGGTATGCATATTTATTTTGTACGTATAACACTTAAGAAATTTAATGGTATGCATATTTAAGTCGATCCAATGGTCACCAATTTTTAATATTTAATTTAATATATATGAATATATAATTATTATAGTTTTTAGGTGGCTAAAATTGTTAAATTAATATATATAATTATTATAGTATTTTTTTAGGGTTATAAAATTAATATTTTGCTTATCGTGTATCGTGTTACCCACGTGTATACTCGAACCAACTCGTTATCTTAACATGTGTTTATCGAGTTACCTGATAACAACTCGATTTGTTATTGTGTCGAACCAAACACCTGTTATTTTCGTGTTGTGTCGTGTCGGGTTATCGGGCTGTGTTAAGAATTGCCAGGCTTAGCTGTGATATTGTTGGGAAAAAAAAAAAAGTAATTACCATATAACTTTGACTTTCTTTTTTGTAAACAAATAAGATGCGTTCTCCTTGCTGGTCCCGATATTAGGTTATGCAGTCTCGTGCACACCTTATCTGTAGCTAACAAGATCTAACCTCATATGGAAAACTAACCAAAACACTCTCAAGGGTTTCATTTTAATCATAAGGACAAAACAATTCAATAATACCCAAAATGAGCATGTAAAAGAAGACAAGGAGAAAGTATTTTAAGGGAAAGAGCATTTCAGGGATATCACATGCAAAAGTTGGGCACCAGGAGACAAACCATGCAGCAAATTCACATGCAAAAGGAGACAAGGAAGTTCACATGCAAACCAAAAATCAGGCCACGTTTCAGAAATAGTGCTGACAATTTCAGCAACAGTAGAAGCATAGTGACAAATGACAAGTACCAAAGAGGTGTCCACACCATTTATTTATAACCAATTTTAATACCATTGTATCCTGATTCAGTCTATATAAGTGAAGTTTCATTCATTGTAAATATATACCTCTCAACATCCCAACACCTGAACACCCTACTCTCACCATATACTCACACCATCTTCATACCCTCAAGCATCCTTGTAAACACTTTCTTGTAAACAATTATCTTTGTAAACATTTCATATATCAAAAAAAGTTCAAGTGTACATATTCAAGCAATCTCCAAGTCTTAAGTAAGCTTTCTTTTCTTTCTGTCTTAAGTAAGCTCTCTTTTCTTTCTGTCTTAAGTAAGCTCTCTTTTCTTTCTGTCTTAAGTGAGCTTTCTTTTCTTTCTTTAGTGTGTTTGTTTAATTAGACTTCTAGTCCAAAACAGGGAAACACTATTGTAGTTATATTATTAACCTGCTAAACTGACGATCATATTTTGTTCGAGTACTCTGTTATAGTTGAATGCTTACCATACAAATAACTGGACATTAACCAGGGTACCTTTGAGTTCTTTGTACCTCTGAGTTCAGTCGTTAAGGCCTTATACTTGTATTGTGAGTGGCCGTCATGCTGAAACATGTCGAGTTCCATGTGCAAGGTTTTATGTCTAGTTGTTATAATGGCCATCCGACTATTTAATCGGGCATGCTTCATGAATCTAGTATCAGAGCCAAGTTTAGCATTTTAACAATATAATTATAATACTAAAGTACCTTGAAGACGGAAGTTATTAACACAACTGATATCACACTTGTTTATTTTGTATAAACAACATATATTATTGTCCTTGTAGACCTTGTCAACGACAACCACTAGGTATTTATTGTCCCAAACATCCAACTATAAATAGCATAAAGAGAATATTAGTATATATATGCAAAAGGACTAGCAGTACTTTGAAGAAGCAGAAGTTTTATCTTGGTTATCTTGAACATCACGCATTTATTTGTAAATATAATAATATAGAAGTGCATCATAAAGTTTTAGAAGCAAAAAGAGCAATAGATCAAGTTTTAAAGACCCTAAGAGAAGAAAGAGAGTTTCTAAGAAACCAATTAGTTGTAACTTTAGAGAAAAGTATACTGTAGTTTATGATAGATTATCTTAATTTAGAAATTAATGAACCTTAAAAAAGAAAAATAACCTTAGACCAAAATAGTTTAATTTGTTATTTTCCATTGAAAAAGCATAATCATATTTTGTATAGTGAAGAAAATCCAGAAGCATAATCGTATTGTAGATCTTATTATTAGTCAAACAGAAAATATAAAATTAGAAAACAATAAGCATAATCATTTGTTAAACCAGTTGTTAGAGCATTTTCGGAAAAATTCCATAAAAACAATTAGAAAAAATTTAGACAATATTACATCTCAGTTAGAAGATAATAATAAAAATATTCAAAGGTTTCCTAGCAAAAGAGAGAGAAAAGAGCTTGTTGACCTCATAAATAGTAAACTGAAGCAATTAGAACTTAGATCACTAGAAATAGTTGAGCAGTTAAAAATTAGAAGTTCAAAAAATTCAATTAGTGCAAAAAGAGTTGAGTGAACAAATAGATAAGTTGCATAATAAAATAGATAAATTATTAGTTTAATGACCGATTCTAGAACTAGCAGAAAATATATCCAAGTTTTGAAAGAAATTAGTAAGTTAGATAAAGAACCAGTAGGTTTAACAGATTTTTCAACACAAGTATCCAGTAGTAATATTCCCATTAGCCAAAATAATTTAATTATTTCAATTATTTTTAAGTTTGGCTGAAAAATTAGATCAAGTTAAAGAACAAATAGCAGAAATAAACCAAGTTTTACATAACGTATCTTCATCACTTACACCATCTTTGCTAGATAAATTAGAAAATTTAACTTTAAGTGCAAATAGTAATATTAGAAGACCTAAGCTAAATCCTTTTGAGAATAGAAAATGGAACTCTTTAGGAAAAAGGGAAAAGAAGTAGTTAGAGCTGAAGATATTTATCCTAATGAAGAAGAAGCACAAGAATTTATTAGAAGAGGTTTTGAGAGAACACAGAAAAATAAATATAATTTGTATCAATTAGGTTTATTTGAAAATAGAAACAGAATTGTAAGTAGTAACAGTCAACATGAAGTTAGCTGTATTGATAAAGAAGTTACACTTAATTTAATTAGTAAGGAAGCAGTTATGCATTTGAGAAAATCACATTTTTGTCAGATTCATATAGTAACAATATTAATTGGAATAACAAGATTAGCCAGAGCACAAGTAGGCACAAAAGCATTAGTATACATATATGATGATAGATGTGACAATCACCAACAAGCAGCAATAGCAACAGCTGAAGTAGGCTTAAGTTCAAACTTAGCTGTCATAGGATGTATTCCAAATTATGTTATGACAATTAATGAATTTAGTAAATATATTAAAGTGAGCATAAGAACAAAAAATTACAATATGAAAGGAGAGTATAAAAATTTGTGTATTAGCTTAATGTATATTGGAAAAGTGTCTGATATATATAATCATAAGTTTAATTTAAAATTTCAAAATTTAGTTCAAACATTTGGTAGTAAACATGTAAATATGATAGAAGCAAAATCCTTATGGCTTTTTAGAAGGAATTCAGTGGACACAACCTAATTTACAAGTAGCAAGAAATAAACAACTAGATAAAGTACAAATATATGAAACTAGTACAAGTCATGTAACAATTAGGTTTAGTAATTACAAGCAACTAGAAAAAATAGAAGAGGATGAAAGTGAAATTGAAAATGAGAGTATACATATGACTTTTGATACTTTATATATTAATCTAGTTGAGAAATTTTTTGATCATATTGTAGATAAACTTATAGAAGATATTGATCATTTAGATGAAGAAGAATACTTAGAAAAATATAGGATATATGATTAGAACTACATAGAACTTCAGATGAAGAGATGAAAAAATAAATTTTAGAAATAGGAGTAGAACATATTTTATGATCAAAAGAATATAATAATTTATTAAAATTGAAAGAAGAATGTAATCCAGCAGAAGAAAGTAGTATATCAAGAGTAGAGAATCCAGGACACGCAAGTAGAACTGATCAACAATTTTTTAGACCAACAAATGAACAATATAATGAAAAAGCAAAAGTAGATTACATAGAAGAAAGTATGATAAAACCACCTAGAAAAAATAGGATTCCATATTTGAGAGGGTTAGAACAAATTAATATAGTTGGTAATATATTAAATTTAGATAATGTAGATCCACAAGATTGAGGAAGAATGATTGAAAGATGGGAAAAAGATTGCGTACATGCAGCATTAATGTTAGATTTTAGTAATTCAAAAGTCTAAAGTTGCTGCAAGTAAAGACTTTCAACACCTTCATTTGTTTTACATGGATAGATTTCAACACTAGGTTTAGGAAGTCTTTGTTTGCATTTGTTTATTAATACCACTTGTATGGTTCTTTTGTTTTTGCAAGTATAAGAAAGCCTTCCCGTAAGGCTCTTTGTAATTCCATTTTCAGCAATAAAAGGTTGAAAGCATTTGGTCTGTCACCGAGAAGCTTGTTGCTTCATATCTCTATTTCTTTTGTCCAAATTTTATTGAGAGCAATAGTGAGAGGTGTGATAGAGTTAGAAAAACTTATCACCCACATATTTTGGTATTGAGTTAGTAAACTTTGAATACCAACAGTGTCTACAATTTTGTTGACACTGCAACTTATAGTTGTCTACATGTCATCAATAATTATGACTGAAAGTGCATTTAACCGCATTGTAGAAGGGCTATTACAATATTACATGATTAACTAACAGCATCCTTTTTACTTGCTTATGATCACCTCCGGCCAAACCACGGCGAGTTAGCCGTCGAAAAAGATACCATTCTCTTAGTCTCATCGAGAAATATGATTTTAGTTTTTGAATCACTTGATTTCGTTGAGTATTGAAGAAGTTATGAACGTTTAAAGTTTACCCAGTTTCTGGCGAGTTTTCCAGTTCTCTCAGACCAGTCAACTTTGAGGCTATTTTCCGGCCATCTCCGGCAACCATTAGGCTTCTAAATAGGTATAATCTTATTCTACACTTTCCTATCTTTATTTTGATATATTATGGATCAAATTTGGTTAAGAAACAATTGAGTTACGAAGCTTTGAAAATTGTCCAAACTTCCGGCCAAGAGTTCCGGGACACTTAACGGAGTTTTTAACGGAATGACCAAAATGATGGATGGTCGACAATCTCAAGGACCACTTTGATTGATTTGAAATGTTAGGTACCAAAGTGATGAGTTATGCAAATTTCAAGGACCATTTTGGTTATTTACCCTCAAAAGTACCATCATTGTTTTGTGGATGGTTGTAGTCACGGGAGGCACTCCATCTGTTATCAAACAGCACTGCGAAAGAAAGCAAAATAAATAATATCAGTATCCCTCCCTCTCTTTATCTGCCATCCTTTTTGTGTTATAGCTACTAAAGTTATAGTGTGATATTTTACATCTGCTTCGCTCCTGTCCTTAGAAAGGTTATCTCTAACTTTTGCCTATATATAACACTAAACACAAAGTACAGCAACAGAACTCACAAAAACTACAATAAATCAACACAAAACAGAAAAAATCCAGGAGAAAGACAGGGAAGACGATATCATTTGTAACAAGATCGTAGTAAGTTATATTAATATTGGAGTCTGAAACCGAGTGTCCCATGAAGAAATGTGATTAGTTCTGTTTCTGGTCCAAATGTCGTTACAAAAATTTAAAAAGAAAAAGATAAACAATGGGAAAAAGAACATTAAATGTAGCATGATTAGTATTCTCCATCTCACTATGTACCATATAGGGCCGAGTCATCGCCTTTTCTTTAACTGCTCATGGCATCCGATGATTCTGATCCCTTGCGTTTGTACTCGTCAAGAATGATGTTGCAACTATTCAGTACGCATGCATCAAGAAGACCGTGATTCCAAAGTTTGATCATGAATAACCTCCAACACCTGAGTTAATGAGCACTTGATAAATTTCACACAATTATCCAATGAACAATAAAAACACGCATCAATCAGTACCAAAAAGATAAAAGTTGGAATATGCAACCGAGTAAAATACGTTTAAAAAGTGATATGCAGGAAATAGCCATCCTTCCAAATATTACTGACCCCTCTGCTTCAGTGCTGCTACTTTTGAAAAGTTGGATTATCTTGGGAATTATGTTTTCTTAATTGTACCATTAATTGTGGAATTAGGGAAAACTAATGCAATAGCAGTACCAGAAAAGAGCGGGGGACGAGTTTAGCTCAGGTGCACGAAGTCTTGAGAATGCCTCGCATGCCCAGGCAGCATGACCATCTGCTATCACGCTACATCATTGATGATGCATCTTTGTCATTACAGGAAATCCAAAAACTGACGTGAAGTTAAAGATGCCACCATTTTTTCATATCAACTTCACATATAAAACAGAAGTAACAGGATAATAGAAAAAGAACAAGACAATAAAGTTTGAACAATATCAGAAAGCCGAAAACAGCAATAGATGACTACCTTTGCTTTCGAACAAATGAGTTCCAAAGATGCATAAGATGCTTTTCATCTTTGGTAACATCTACAAAATCATCAAGCATCTGCAACATAATAATGTACTGTTAGATTTTTAGTTCTGAAAATACTGTTAGACCCAAAACCAATTACGTGTAGAGAGACCCTAATCTTATGTTTGTAATGCTAGCTTTAGTAGTGCACCCGATGCGTGATTATTATTTTCTAACAGGCCCCTTCAACACATGGATCAATTATATCACATGACGTAGAGCATGTGTAGAAAAATTGAACCACACATTTATTACTGTATTTCCAACAATGTTATGGTTGGAGCATCCAACCCAAAACCAATTGACTATGCAAGGGAAGCCTAAGTTTTCAGATAATGTGATCAAACGTTTATAATACTTGTGGATGGATCTTTATATTCTTAGCAAGTCGGATAATTAAAACGTCTAGTTTCAAACAAAAACTAGGGAAGGCCAAACAAACTAGATCCAATTAGTTATAATTGAGCCAAGAAAGGAACTAAACTGCAGTCATCGTCAGGGTTTTAGTAGTACAAAGACAAAATTCAATGCAAGTAGAATTTTTTATCTTGTGCAACATGAATCGATGTACAATAAGAAAATTCAATCTAGGAGAATCATTAAGCATACCCTCCGATCATCAAGGTCTGCAATTTCATCATCAACTTCATCTTCGCTATCCTGATCTGATAATACTTGCTCTAACTCCATAGGCTTCATACAAAAAGAAATATTCATCCAGAATAAGTATATTGTTTTGATGAATCAGCTCTTAGGAATCTATTCAAGATAACTGCATATAACAAGTAAAATATCTTTGATTAAATATTTCAAAGACTTAGTAAGGCAAATGCATAAAATGAAATGTAATGAAGCTGTCGAAACACCAGCAGTTACAATAAACTGTGTTTTTAAATAACTATGGCAGAATGTATGTACAAGACAATAAAAATTTTCACAACCAGAGCATAAAAAGCAATCATGTTTGCTATCTAAATGCTCAATCACAAACGTTTTATATTGAAGAGGTCTGATGTAGGAAAGTAGAAATAGATAGGAATAAAGAAGGGAACCAGAGTCACTCCAGCCTTTGGCTTCATGCCAAAGGTGTATTGGAACTTGGAATCACTCCAATAGAAAATTTCAGCATCACACCGAAGGTGCCTTGGAATTACTGCGGGTGGTTGTGTCTCATACACAAGCAGGAAATCCAGAATTTCTTCACACACAAGCAGGAAATCCAGAATTTCTTCTCACTTAACACTTCTTTAAAGAATACAAAGTAGCCCTTTTTATAGTCTAATTGGTATATGAATCTGGAAAGATCCACATTAATATACTACTCAGGAATTCTAAAGACTAATTTATGACACATAATCCTTTAACATTGTAACATAAGAAAGTAGAAAGAACTTGCAGACTAATCTGCATATATTACATAAGAAAGTAGAAAGACTCTAATTTATTGAATTTAACTTGGCTCCTCCGTCATGGTCCCTTGCACATAATTCTCTATCCAAAAGCCTTCCAACATAAATTCTATAAGAATGGGTCCCTCTCAGTTACACATCGTAACAATAACCCAATTTGGTCACTCATTAGAAATAGAAAATACATCCACTGTTGCATAAATAAACTACAACTGTAGTGCTACTTCCCGGGGGCTAAAAAAAGGCGCAAATTCATTCTTTGAAAGCACAAACCCACAAAGCCCACTTCTCAACACCAAAAAAGAAATACATGCAAGGAGTCCATGATAATTACTGAAAAGAATGCATTTATAAATAAAGATAGAAATCTCAGACAAATCATAAGCAAACTAAGTAATATAAAGAAATACAGGATAGATAATGAAAAAATTACTCTTTAATTGTTAAAAAAAGGATTATTACAGCTCATTAACAGTATAAGTTTTAAACTGTTGCAAAATAAACGATCTGAGTTGACAGCAGCTTTTGGCATGCAAGAAATAAAAGAAAAATGAAGCCTACAAAAAATGCAAATTGATGGAGAAACAAAATTTGGAACTGCTATCGGGTTTAGAAATCAATTACTACCTGAACTCTATGAGAGTGAAAGAACTGTCGTTTCTGCAGGAGCATACGGCTGGCATACAAAAATTCAAGAACTGTGAGAAGTGTGAAAATAAATTCACAGCCTCAATTATGGACACTTCAAATAAGGATACCAATTTCAAAAACGGTGGGGACACGAGTCTCTGCTTTTGATACTCTAAAAACACATCCAAAAGTGAAGTACACAGACTGATAGTATTGACAATGAGAAAAACATTAATCAAGTAATTCTTATAAGGAAAATCAACGGAAGCTTCTGAAAAACAATGGAGAGAAACCATAACATAGGTTAACATACTTTCTTGGCTCTGAACGCTCTGCAGTTAACTTCCTTATTTTAGTTGGTGGTGCAGAATCACTTCCAGATAGCAATTTAACACAATCAAGGTCCGGAGAAGATTGAGCAATGGAAATTGTAGCACCAGGACCATTGGAAATTGAGGTAGCACATTCTATACATTCTATAGAACTCGGATGATCATGACTGCAGTTTTCATCTCTATGCCTTCCATTTTGGGAACCTTTTCCACCGTGGAGCAGATTGGGAGCCTTCACAACTTCACAGGATAGAAAATCCAAAGAATACAGTTAAATCTCAGTTGAATCCCCAAGACAAAAATTGAGTAAGTAAAATCAATCTTCAGTTGAATCCCCAAGACAAAAAATTTAAAACAGTCACATCTGTAAAATGTGCTGCACAATCGCATGTTTTTTTTTCAAATAATTAATATGATTAGACATTTTATTTAAATACCACTTTTGGTCCAAGGGAAGCTATTATTTAACGCTCAATCATAGTATCAGACTCTCAACTGAATTTGAGCTGGGATTTGTCATCCAACAGTCACTATTATCTAACTTAAACTGAACTTGGTGGAACAGTGAACAGTCGAATCAAATTATGTAACTGAACTTGTTCAACCAATAAACAAGCACTTAGTTAATACTAACTTAAAACCAATTCTATATGTTATATATTAGAGATCTGAAAACTTATAAATTGTTATAATTAATTGCAAAGACAGCCATCGACTGATATAACAGCAAAATTGGAGTTACTATATACCACAATAGAAGTCAACAAAATAAGAAAAGGGCAAACCAACCTGACCAGCTATTTCCTAGGTAAGAAGGGAAAAATGTATAAGAAAATAGGATGAAAGAAATGCCATAATACAATGTTGGAGTTGTGGACAACTATAAGACATGCATCATGACCATCATACTATTATATAGAGACCTTCTTAAGCATTAGCCCAGTTGTGAGCAAGCGAAGGGCAGAAACACTCTAAACCACTACCCAAAAGAAAAGAGGATAAATTTTTTAAGAAATTAAAATTTCTCAGAAGCAATCGTGATAGAGACTACAGGTACTCCGAATGTGCCAAGGGTGATACGTCTCTGCACATTAACAGGATATGATGGAATTTGTCATCTCGTTGTCTTTAGTTTGTTTTTATTTTTCACTACCTGAAAATGATCAACCCAACGGAGTATTAAAGGAAAACTTACCGTCACCATTCTCCAAATGTCCCTCCTGTGCCCCTCCATTGGCAAGGCTAGGTGAGTCTAACTCCAAGAATTGTATATGAACGTGGTTTTCAAGTTGACCACGGTTCCTTGGCCTATGTTTTCTTGACCTTGAACTGCACAAAAAAAGTTATTTCACCTACTCAGCTCTCTGGATTCTTCTAAGAGAACAAATAGGATAATAACCAATAGCTTTAAGTTGTACCAAGAAATTTAAACCGACCAGAAGAAGAATGTTTGAAGTTGTGGAACTACTCCATCTGCTACAGTCTGTATATAAAAAATGTAACCGGATATGATTGGGGCATATAACTTGTTCATGCATGTTAAAAAATCATAAGGAAACACAAGCCAGTACAGGAGTGCCTATGAGTTTCTTTTGTTCAACATATGAACCCTAATGGCAGCAAATATTTTGAACTAGCACAAAAAAGATCCACATACTTCATGATGAAAACAATTCTGACCTCAGATCTCAATATGTCAACTTTCACGGAAACGTTGACTGCCTGATACTCTCCAGTTACCTACAAAATAAATGCTTCTTCAACAGCCTCTTAAGAATAAGCAGAAAGTGACTACATATACTAAATCACCAACCCAAAACTCAAAGTTGAATAAGTCATGTGAAGAGCACAAGTGATAACGCAGACCCTACAAGAAAACATGAAGGTTTACTTCAGCAACAAGCTAAATCAGTGTATAGCAGCAAACCATATAAAATGTTGAAACTAAAGACAAACAAAAAATCATGGAAACAGCTCACTTAACAGAAGAACAACAACCTTCAATATTATGGTTCAATAAATAAATTGGGTTTTTCCAGGAGAGAAATATACAGATTATGAATAAAAACTGAAACTCTAGCCAACAAAAGCGGGTATGCTGACATCATATCACAAATAATTCAGCCTCAAAAAAAAAATCTCTAAAATTATAAACAACTAGCGATTCCATTTTGCAAATGAACACTGAAAAGACACTATAAAAGATTGAATAATTAAAGGTTAAGTTTCTCAGGATTAAACAAATCCGAACCATGTGTGTACAGTGGAATATGTAAGAAAAGTTAATCACTGATATGGACATAACTAAGAGTTTCATATTAGATCAGTATTTCCCACGATATAGTATATGAAAACATATATGTTTAGAGTATTTCAACCCAATCTGCAGATAGATATTGAAAATACTTTATAGGTTTTATGCAATTTTCAAAATACAAGATAAGGTATTCCTAATGGGGAGTAATTCTCCTTTCTATCCCATACTAAGGGAAACTTCGTTTTTCTACGATTATACTAATTTTAATCAAACATAAATGGGACAACATTGAAAGCAATATCCATACTGGTTCGTACCTTGAAGCTTGCACATTGCATCAAGCAAAAGGGACAGGAGAAGTCCTCAGTAACTGAATGTTAAAAAAAGAAGGTACATATGAGTTTCAGTAACTGAATGCTCAACAATAAAAGCTTCAATGCTAATGAAAATGAAGTTCCTATAAACAAAAATATGATTTACCAGAAACTTGAGTAGTTGTCTCAATGTTAATCCTTAAAAGTGGAAAAAACCAGATCACATATATTTTTCTTAGGAGCCCATACCACCATGCAGCCAACCAAACCATTTTAAATAAGAAACTAAATAATGCATTTACTCTGACAAAGGGAAAATTTTAAAGAGAGAGAAACAGTATCCTAGGACACCCATTTCCCTTTTTAATCAAGCTTTACACCTTAAATTGTCATTATACAAGAATCAAGGATCATAGTCGTGCCAAGTAGGGCTTCATGAGTTAAAAGATGGGGGTGGGACCAGCAGAAACGGAATAAATAAAAAGAAGAAATTTGAGAGAAACCCTCCTAAAGGACAAGAAAAATAAAGTACTAAATAAATCCAGAGACATCAGAAACAACAATAAACTTGCAGAAATTTGTTTCTACAGGAAAAAACGGTTTTTTGATAATTAATTAACAAGTATGGTTGAAACTTCAGATACAAATAACCATTGTAACTACTGTAATAGAAAAGAATTACACTTCTGAGGACAAAGAAATTGATGATACCTTCAGTTTTACGTAAAGTGTTGTTGTAGTCCCTGTAGTTGAATATAACAATCGCAGCCCTGGACCTACAAAATAACATGCTGAAAATTATATTAATTTCCCTCTCAAAGTAAGCACCATAATGTCTTCTTGAAGTCCTCGCAGCAGAAAAAATAATGTGCTTGAGGAAGCATGTGTGTGTGTGCCTAGACAAACTATGAGACTATACCGAACAGAACAATTTCAGGTGGACTACCACATATCGAAACTCTACATCCGTAGTCTTCATAGAATTAAGAAAATCGTTTTGAAATAAAATCATTGAAGGCAATGGAAACAAGAACTAAACAAAAATTCATGCATAAACATACTTCCATATGCCTGACTGTGTGTACTTATAGATAGATTAGTACCTCTTTGTACGCCTTGCTTGGATTTTGTAATGCAAACATCTGCGAAGAAATAATGGCTACAACATAGAAAGGCCTTGATTAGAATACAGAAACATATGTTGTACGTTTTTACAAAGAGTACACCAAGACCTCATAACCACCCACACATATGGCACACAAAGCGAACAGCATAGAGCTCAACATTACATGAGTAATATGATTGCAAATAAACACATTGGATTAACATTCCTTTTGTTCTTATAACCATAATACACCAAACTATGCCAAAACACCGAACGGGTACCAAAATTGCCAATGAGGATCATTACAAGTGCAATCATATTTGAATCTGCACTCCTGATTAAACTTTGATAACCACGATCTTTGGAATATCGTGTAGGAACTCGCAATGATGACCGAAAATTAACATATAACACGATTATACAAAAGAAGTGGAAACAGAACAAAATGCATGAGTGTGAACATACATTGTGTAGAGCACGAGGGCGAAGAATGTTGTAGAGCTCAACAGGCTTGCAATACATCAAAAGACTCTCGTCGATCGCAACCGCCTCCTCTACCGGCAAGTGCGCACAAGAATTGTGACGGCACATCTTATATCCCTACGGCAGACAACACAATCTAAACAAACAGCAGAAAATTAAGATTTTCGATTTTCGATTTTCACAGAGATCTGATATATGACGATATTTGAGCTATTATCTTGAGTTAATTTTGGTTAATTGAAATTAAGCTATAAAATTAACAAGAAAAAATGCCAACTCAACACAGAGAGCAATAATTCTTTCGTTAAAAGAAGAGAAAGTAGTTTGCACCGAGGGAATGATTAGCTTTGCTGACCGGAGATAAAGGAGGCTCACCGGTTTGAAGGTTGAGCCGGAAAATTGGCCGGAGAAGACAGTTTCGGGGTTTTCAGCTTCGAGAGCGCCGGCGAGGAGCTGGAGAGCAGCTGGGCCCCCAATTTGCTTTGTAACATAAGGATTCCGTCACGTAAAGTCGTTAGGTCAGGAAACGGGAAGTTGCTCAAAGTTGCACTTTTTTTCTTTTTGGTTGAACTATTTGATTGTCTCGGCAAAGAAAGAGTTACTTTTTTTTTTTTGGAATTATTATTAGCTTTCAAAAAATCGCATTCTAAATTTTAAACTTTCTATATTATGAAAGAAATATACACTTGTAAGGAGTATAAAATAAGATTTATAGAATGTAAATAACACTACCTTTTTTTTGACAAAAATAATAGTGAATTTCATTAAAAAATTTCTTTTTGGACAAGGGCTTAACTTCATTAAATTTAAAATTTACAAAGCCAACTAACGACCCAATACAAACAGTGGAGGCCTAATTCCACAACAAAAGAGGCTTAAAACTGAAAACACAAGACAATAAGAAATAAAACCTAATATTTTACCAAAAAAAAGAAATAAAACCTAATATCCATCACAGAAACGCAATTCACCGTAGTCGAACTCTTGCTAACAATCCCCGAAATGACAACCATGTAGGAACTAGAATGAAGGGGGATCAGTGAAGAGTCAAGCACAACTAAATTAACCCAAGAAAAGGGAGAAAATTCGTAGCAAAAATCAGATCACAGAGCTGCGTAATCTGCCTAGCCATCTAGATTTATACCACCAACCACCACATCTACAAGAAACGAAACACGTTGACATAACACGGGGGTGGGGAGGGCCAAGGGGATGTGTAAAACACCCTTACTTCGACGATGCCTCAGAACACTTCACCCAAAAATTTTGGCATGCCAGTAAAGCCGGAGCAATGAGGTAAAGATCTACCTCCGAAATCGAGTCCAAAACTCGAAGATCTGATTTTTGATAGGGATTAAAGAGGGTCGAAGATGGAGGTTTAGGCAAGGGAAAAAAGGAAAGAATGAACTGAGGGAAAAGGGCTGCAAAAATGGAATTAGAAAGAGAAGCAAGGGCAATAAGGAGGAGGAGAAGAGAGGGGAGGCAACAAAACAGGAAAGCTATAGATAAAACCGATAAGACACACCATAAAAACGAAGAGGACCGCTGAGATTATGACCTCGAAAACCGACAACCATAGGTTGCGGAGGGTAGGACACAGACAAAACACTAAAGAGGATAAGAAAAAGAGGAGGTAATGGGTTGCCTGTCGACCCCATCTAAAGGAATGAGTCGGTGGCGACGAGCAACAGAAAATGGGCTTTTGTGTGAGAGAAGAGAGGGAGCGGCTATGTCAAAAAGGGCGTCCAGTGAATTTCATTAAGAATGAACACGTTTTTTTTCTTTCATACAATCATGTATTTAAATTTAAGGATTGAAAAATAAATTTGTATCAAATGCATCATTTTAAATCTCTCACTTACAAATGAAGACTATAACTAAAGTGCAGTTCTTAGTGGTATCAATAAATATATATATTGGTTAGGACTAATAATAAAAGATTTAGAAATTAGATTGTATGAAAAGGTTACAGTTACATAAATATATTAAGTCAAATTAGTCAACAAATAACACTTGCCAATACAATGGAAGGCAAACAACCTAGGACAAATTAGAGGTACTTAAACACAAGCCTAACCAATTAAAATCTAGGCACTCGCCGCCGGAACCGGATCCCCTCCTAAGCATAGGGTGGGGATCCTCCTAACTGGGCCATCTAAGCCATTGAAATTTGATCCAATGACTACAAACACGGGGGCCCTCTAAAAATTATAATTATTGTAACCGTTGGATCAAATTTCAATGGCCCAGATGAACTGGTCATGAGGATCCCCACCCTATGCTCAGGAGGGGATCCGATTCCCTCGCCGCCAACACTTTGTTAGCAGTTACTAAGGTAGCCGCAATAAAAACGAAACCAAGTGACTCATTTGATCAAAGCATTGCAACGTGAAATCAACCTCAATGGAATTTCGTCACCAGAAATGTTGACTAGAAGAGTTAATAGATCCAAGACACCTTCATACTCCTACAAGTACATCCAAACACAAACACATGTGAGAAACCTACACATCATAAAAATTAAACCTACACATGATATTCAAACAAACCAAATGAATCAATGCAAGTCAAAGCAAAGAACTCTAAATATTAAGGAACATAATCTACAAATATGATTATATGTATATCTCAAAAACTTAAACAAGTACTTGTACAATTACGAAGTGTTTAGAGTTTTGCAAGCAGCACACAACTGAGCATATGTTTTCTTCTTAAAAGCAAGTGCATGTGCAGTTTTGAAGTGTTTGGAGATCCTAAAGCAGCAAACAGTTAGTCATACATTTGTTGACTATAAAACTCTATGAAGTGTTTTAGGGTTACATCAATTTATGGCTATTATATACCCAACAGCGCCCGTGTTTTCTTCCTAAAAACAAGTATTTGTACACTTCTTAAGTGTTTGGTGGTTTGAAAACAGCACGCAGTTGGTTATACAACTGTGCGAGTGTTTTCTTCCTAAAAACAAGTGTTGGTGCAATTCTGAAGTGTTTAGATAACCTAAAGCAGCAAGCAGTGGATTGTACTTTATTTTACTTAAAAATCTCTAAAATGTTTGAAAGTTAACATAAATTCATAACTACAATAAAACCAACTAAGCATGTGTTTTCTTTGTATAAACAAGCATTTGTGCAATTCTTAAGCATTTGGTGGTTCGCTATAGCAGCATGCAGCTGGTTATATAACAACGTTAATATTTTCTTCCTAAAAACAAGTACTTGTAGAGTTTAAAATTTGGTCATACAACAATTGGCGGGCTACAAGCACATGCATATGGCACCCTGGCCTGGAAGTCTAATGCATTATCCTACTTCCAAAAAGTTTATATAACCAGCAAGGTTGTGGGTTCTAACATTTAAACCTGAGATCTACGTCATTCGAGAGAATAGTCAAAATGGAAATCCAGAAATCATTTGAAAGTGGCTCTGAACTCCAACCACAAGTATGATTACTTCTATCCCAAGCCAGCATACTAAGCCAAATATTTTCTGCAACATCGTATGTTAGCAGGTTCGAAGGGGCATCCAAACTAGGGCAATCCCCAAGACGAATTTTATTCCAATAGAGGTTTGATTCGCGGAAACGCTTTGGCCAAGCCAGCCAGGGTAGTTCAATAGAACATGCTCAAGTTCGACATATAGGGTTTGACAAAAGAATTCAAAAAGCATTTCCAACCCACATGTTGACGGCTAAGTTTCCAAAGAACTTTTTGTTTAAGATTCATTGGAAACGAACACACAATTATAGCTGAGAGTCCTCTAGCACCACATTGCAAGTATTGAAGCTCTTTACCCAAGAACTCTGGCAAGGTGTAAAGAAATCAACCCTTGTATATACAATATCTTCAGGTACGATTTGAAGCTCTTAAATCCAATAAATGTGTTACAATAAGTGCAAAAGCAAAAGTCTTCTCTGTTGGAAGTATGCCCACAAAGCCATTCATTTGATGTAATAGCTTTTGGAATACTTATTGTATTAAACTATTATATGTTTAATGAAGGGCAAAGCTTATTGTTAATCACTATTTATTGTATCATGTGTTTAAGCAATAAGGGAATCCAAGGAATGTATTTGATCTAAGAGATAAATGATTTAAGTAAGTTAGATTAACGAGACATTTCTCTTATATTCATTCCTAAAACGTTCCTAGTCATAGGATTGACAATTGGGCATTGACAATCCGCTAAGGTTAGTATGTGTTATGTCAACTCAAGCGTGAGTATGACTAGTCTCAAGTCATTTAGTGTTGGACACTAAGACAAACACATAGGTGCTCGAAAGAGTAATCGAGTACACTGAACAACGATCAAAAGAGAGTTCGAACATACATGTCATGTAAGAACTCGATAGTTGCAATATGCAAAGTAGTCCTTTGACCTGAGGCATCATAGATGTCTAATGGTTAGGTCCTTGATCTTTGATCATGTCAAAGGCATTCTATTGAGAGTGTCCACGATATTTTTTGGGTCAAGCTATCTAGTCATGTAGGCATATGAATGCACGACAAGGGATCTCTAACCTTCCATGGTAGAAGGAGAATACTCTAAGATATGATTCGAGAGTCTTTGGCCAAAGTATATGAATATGACTTAGAAAGTTTGTTCCAAATCATATTCAATTGAACCATATAGAGAAGTATCACATTGGATAGTAGACATGAAATAAACTATCACTCAAACAATGTGATTAAGAGTATTGTATTAGAGAATGACCGTATTGCGTTGTAGTTGTAACTGGATAGGTTCTCCAACCACTTCTACTTAGCTTGGGTAACCATGACATGCTGCTAGGTGTCACTCATGGTTTGTGGAAGCCCTGAAGATTAGCAAACACTAATCTTAATCAAAGGGAGAATTGAAATGTAGTTTCAATTCAAAATCGATCGTTAAGAGTAACAATCGCCCATTGCCTCGCTAATTGGAACCTAATGGATCGTACACCGAGTAAGGATGAAAGTGAAGAAATATAAATGAAATGGATATGCAATTAAATGGTTTAATTGAAAAATGGTCAAGATTAATTAATTAGTTAATTAATTTTACGAAAGGTTCGTATTGGGCTTTTAAGTTGGTTTTGGGTTTCGCAGCCCAAAAGTGTTTTGGTCCACAAGGCCCATTATGTTTAAGTTGTATGACAACTAAAACAAAATGGGCAATAAGCCCAATCACTTAAAAGAGGCCGGCCATAGTGAGGGGAGTGTGAAGTTTTGCTTAATTGCAAGTTTGCCACTCACCTAAGAAAAGAGATATAAAAGCATCTTTATAGCTTTTTCTCATTAGGGTTTCTTGAGACAAAAGATGAGAAACACTTTCTCTCCTTTTCTCCAATAGAGGCCAGTCACTTAGAGAGGAGATAGCTAGCAATCTTTTCTTCTTTAAGTCATCAATTTCATCTTCACACCTCATCCTTGGTGTGGAGACTTAGAGACACCAAATCTTTGGTGTTTTGGAGATCCTTTCCTCATATCCTCAAGGAGCAAAGGAGCATCAAAAGGAAGAAAATCACAAGGAAGATCCAAGGAGCTACGAGGTGACTTGAAGGCCCTCCACTTGGGTGAATCCCTTGTGTAAACAAGGATGAGCTTCAAGGGTAATGAATCTCTAAATCCTTCATTCTATTTAATGTTGTTAAAGAGTCTCATGGTTCACCATTCACTAGGCTTTGAAAGTCATGGGTTTTAGAATTGTTTTTGAATGCATGCCTACTTTAATGTGTTAATAGTTTGCATTTGTGTTCAAATATTCTCACATGTTGTTAGCTAGGACAATATTTTTCCTTCATTCTCATGGGTTGAATGTTTAATTTATGGTACCGGAGTAATGTGGTATTTCAGATATCGCAATGATAATGCTTTATGAATACTAAGTTTGGGAGGCGACGTTTCCCTGAATCAATGTTGCCAATGGAAGCTTTTAAGCTCTGTCCTGGGCCCACAAATTTACTTGTACTCTGCTCCACCATTTATTTCTTATACAAAGTTCTTTTACCTTAGAGAAGTTTGTCGGATTAGGATTTTCCCCTGTTAAAAAGAATTCATATTATGAAAGAAAAAGTTTGAAATTACAAAAGGGACATGTTCCCTCTCCTAGACAAAGAAAGACTTAAAAGCTAATCTTCTTTTGTGACTTATTTCCCTTTAGACAGGATGGAAGACTTTTTAGGAGCATCAGAGGCTGGATCACATTTTAGTCAGATTCTTCTTGCTTCGCCTCTAAGTCCAAGATCTCATCGAGCAGATGTTGTGGAGGAGGAAAATCCATGTGCTTGATATCATCATAGATCTTGTAGACATCCCAACCTTTAAGTGATCTTGCTAGGCGTAACCAGCAAAAGACCAGGTCATATCCTTTGTCGTACCCTTGTGCGAGCAACTTCTCATGGTCATCTAGGAGCGCTGACATTTCAGAGGCATGTCTTTCTATAAGTTGCTAGAAAATCGTGATGC